AATAAAATAGATTAGTGATGTAAACCTTTTAAATTTATTGTCATTTCACCAAGTTTAATATACTGTAAGTTATATTGGTTAAATTAAATCGTCTAGACATACCTCTCATCTAACTTCCGAATTACCTCGCAGTTTACCGAATTACTTTGACGGTATACAAAGTAAGGCTTGAACTTTTGAATTTTTTTTGTCTTACCTTCACCTGATTCGTATTCGTGGCACCCGATCCATTCTTGTGACAGCAAATCGTTACTTTAATAAGACTTTAATATGATAAGATGATCTTCAAAATCAACCAATCATAATAAAGCCCGCTATGCTGATCTCTAGTGAATGGCTCAATCTTAAATTCAGATATAAGTAAAAGACTTTATAGTAGAAAAGAGCAAGAGAATGTTTATATTAACACCATGTCCATTGAAAACCAAATAAAAAAAGTGTATCCAGGAGATTTTAATCCAGAACTATGTATTCTTCCAAAAGTACTCAATACAACAATTCATCCACTTGTATCTTCTTTCTTCGGTTTAGGAAACGACCGCATTATTACCAGATATACAAAGTTAAATCCTCAAGTTGATGTAAATGTTTTGAAAAATTGTTTAGAATATGAACCAAAGTTTTATAAATGGGCAGGTGATTACTTTGATTTATGTTAGTGCGAAATCTACGGACAGTGCTTAGTAGTGTTTATTTTTCACATGAATACACGTGTGTGGATCAATCAAATTACTTGGTTTTTTGAAATAAAGCAATTTGATTGGATCTGCAAAAATCTACGGACGGTGCTTAGGGACAGCGTAATTGCGTGATATTATATAAAATCCATCTACCCTAACCGCTAACTAACAAATCATAGCTCAATCACGTGATAATGTACTGTCTCTAGATTTCCCGCACAACTAACAAACCAATCACATGAATTCCTAAGCACTGTTCATAGATTTTTCATTATGCTAAACTTATATTATTAATTATATACTTGGGTTTGGTAATGCACTTTTTTATATTACTTTTCTTAGATCCATGCTATTTACAATTTAAATAATCAAGCTTGTATTGGAAATAGATTTTGTATAGAAAATATTTACCTCAACTACCATAGGGAGCTTTGACCACTGTATGACCTCCCATCTTTTCGATACATGAAGAAATTTCACTTTTGTTCACATTACATATAGTTTCTGAAAAACGAATAGCAAGACTATTTCCAGATAGTTCATTATTAAATAATTCAAATGATTTTGATGCTATAACTTTGTTATGATCTAGCTAAACATGAAATTATATTATTAAAAACTACAGTCTTGGATTTTAGAGGAAAACGAATCCAAGGTTTATGAGCTATATGCTTAAAACATGCTCTTATAGAGTGCCAAACTAATTATAAAAGCAATTAATAGTTAATTTTAGTAATTTTTGA